TCAGCTGACCGATGATACGTGACACCTATGTAAAACATATGAAACAAACTTATGTGATCAGTTGAAAGACGAACACGGGCTATATTATCTCGACACGTGTTTATTGTAAAAAATGAAATTGTGACATCGTAAAAGTTTCATTGTTAAGCCTCAGATGTATGGGATGTTGTACCTTTCACTGGATATTGACGGATACATTCCACGAACACCGTAACTGCCAACTGAAATGACGGCATGATAGAATAACGTTTTTACGCGCAACTATCTTAAATTTTAGAAATAAACGACGGTAAAATAAAGCTGGTCCCAACATGACTACGGTCAATGAATCGTCAAATATATCAAGAGGCAATTATTTTACTCGTACAAATACAGAAGGAGTGGCTCCAGTAATTATATTGCATTAAGCTTCAATTAGGCTGGCAACAGTATTTGCTATGAATGTAATGGATGTTTAGTCACAAATTGACCGCAATCAAGAATAAACAGAGAAACCTTTTTTTATGACTACCATTAGAATTCTGGCTTGTTAATTGGCATCAATAACATAAACGACGCTGTGTTAATAAAACGCAGCATTCCTCCTAATGATATTCAACTAAAACTTAAGAAACATGTCAAGTTGAAAGGGGCGAAATATAAGCAGCAAAACCTATATTTCCATAATCAAAATACATCTCCACAGCATTTATCATTAATACATATCAGCATCATGTCAGTGTTATGGTAACAAACGTGCAACTAATTATCGCCACATTTGCTAAAGCAGTATGAGGATATCTTGTTTCGCATCGTCAACAGTAACGATAGTCAAGTGCGGACAAACATTTCTATCTATGTATTACACTCAAACGTTTTGAGATGATGGATTACTGAATATTTAGAAAATAACTAAATTCAGACCGAAACGTCGCTCTTAATTGTAATAAAGAAGTTGTTCATCCATAAATTCTTATCCTTACTTAGTGCAACTTCTAAACGTCAAAATAATCAAAGAAGTTATTTAACGTCACATCGGCATTTGAGGTATATCATGACGAGAGAAAGCACTGCATTCAAAATAAATATATACTCACCGCCAAAAGAAACGCGAATACCATACATGTTTGTTAATATATGAAGACTTCTCATATTCAAGAGGTATTAAATTGGTTCGATGCACAATCCTCTTAACGTACATACTTCTCGATATGTTTCTATGGTTCGTTTCTTTTGGTGGTGAGTATAATTAGACTCTATAGAAAACCTGTCGAAAAAGGACAGTAAAATAACTAGAATATCACAGATTTGTCTTAAAGCTGGCCTGTAACCATAAAGGATATCACTATACAGAACAATACATGGCCCCCAGCAGGGTTTACACCTTCCATTCAGTACCCTGCGATTGAACGAAATGTTGGCAATAATTAAAATGACAAATATTCGACGTTTAAAGGAGTAGTAAATTTAAATATACTTTGAATGCCATGGTCTTCACAAAAATACATTATACAATTCTATTTCTTTAAAATAAATAAATGAGAACCTACATATTAAAAAGATCCTTTGTGGATGAAACCTTGAAATAGTTATCCCATGTCATGGGGAAATCAACACAGTCAAGCAGAACATACTTGACAAAGATTCTTTCATCTCAAGGGATACAGAATAGAGGATCCTCACCTTTCAGTAAATATTCTTGAGCATAGCATAAATGACCTCTCCAAGTCTGGACTGACAACCCATGTAGGTGTAACCAATAGTTGGTTTAATCTCATGTAATATATTTATACCTACTTGGGTGTTCATTTTTTTGTGCAGTAGATCTCGGATATAGGTTCTAATCACGGACTTGTCATCCCTGTATGGGATTAAAAGTGATACCACAGTTTTGTTGAGGGCTGCTTTTCCTGCATGGCTGGGTAACTAAAATAAGACGATGTCGTACTGGCCAGTAGCAAGATCATTATATAATTCAAGAATTTCGATCACAAGTGGATGTTTGCAAGACTGATTTTTTATTGCGTGAAGACAGGAAAGAGAGTCTGAAAATAAAATAAATTGTTTATGTTTTAATTGTTTATTTATATATTCTAGTTCTGTTAATACTACCTATGACCTATGTCTTAAAAATGGAACAGTTCTCTGGTAATCTTGATGATATAGTCC